TGCAGGCCGTACGAATTGGACGTATCTATGACGGCTCTCGAGTACCCCAGCTTGACCAAGGAAGGTCATCACGAGTCACAGATGGGCTTGAGCCTTACTCAATGGAGATCCACGAGCTTCTAACCGGTTAGATGACGATGCAGCCGAGCTGGCAAATCTTTGCTCTCCCCCAGTCGGGAGATCCAAGCTGACGCTGAATAAGCAAAGGCAATGACAGCACCCCATTAAAAGTGTATATTCCCCCATATGAACGAATTACGGTATGATACCTGCCTCGGCCACGCATAGACATCCTCGCCTTCTCCTCCATTCGAAGCTGACTAGCGCTCAGAGACATGAATGCACTCAACTGCTTACTCCCCTTCATAGGATTAAGACCAACCTGGGACAGCTCAAAACTGCAGAAAGGCATAAAGACCCTGCCCGATCGAATCATGGCAGATTATACCATCCCCGAGTGGGGATCACTACAGACTATTGCTGGTTCGACGCTCGCACGTGCAGGTTTTAATAACACTTAGCAGCAGTTCACTACTATTCGTATTCATCTGTGATTGTTCAAGATGCTACGAACTCGTTGCTGTTGACCATAAGTCAGTAATGCTATTCGACAGAATGCACAAAAGTGTCCCGAGCCATTCCTCAACCTACGATATCGAGAAGCTCCGGTACCATGAACATCTGACTCGTGTACAGCGTCCGAAAATACCTAACAACAACCTTCAACTCATAAACCGCTGAAGCGGCCAACAACGTACTCCCTAAAGCCAACTTGACGCGTGAATGGGTTTGCCTCCACCACCTCCCTTGGGGGGAAGCTGCCCATCTTCGCATGGAACTCAGGGAAACGATCGTGGTCGAATAGGACTCTGACGTTGGCGTGAGGTGATTCTCCCTCAACTGCGGTACCCTCACCTCAGTCGATCATCCAACCACTTGAGAACCTTGAAACGGCGCTTGACAGTGATCTGGAAGGCTTCTCCTGCTTGAGGGTATACTCGGGTGAATAACCTCGAACAAGGCTTACTATGACTATGCCCCCCTACCAACAAGAGAAACTTGCGAGTATTTCTCCAATGCGAGATTAAATCTACTTCGAAACCAACATCAAAGTCGTACCACTCAAAGTGTATCACAAAAATTCAGGACTCAATGGAGTCGTTCTTCATTTCAGTTCGGGTTACCCACGGAGAACACCTAGCGTGTTGAGCACGACATTTACTTGTATTCAGTGAGGGCCTGTCCTGTTGGGCCTATCTTGGCCACCACTTGAACGTCCAACAATTTCAGGCAAGGACGGAATGCAGGCAGAGGAGCCGAAGGAGAGCCAATACTAGGCGGCGAGTATCCCCTAGCACAGCAATTACCACGGCTCTAGCCTTTCACAGTGCTTACGAGTCTATAGTGTGCTCTATCATCGCCTGGGAACCCGAAGACGGATACAGCTGACCAGCCTAAACAGTATTGATGTCCCCCATCGGCTGCCAAGTAGGGAAGTTCTCAACCATAACAACAAAGTAATTTGTGTGTCATTCACATGAACGACGCGACTCCCAGGAGTAGCGGCATGGCGACCGAGCCAATACATCGCAGTTTTGGATGCTCATGGAAGCGCTACTCAACAGACTCTTTCACTGATCTCTTCCCCAACCCTCCCACTGCTACTGCTGTTGGTTTCCCGAGGAGCCCAACCCTAGTCCTGGGCTACCTGCATAAGCCTCTGTATATAAGGGAACAACGCCAAAGACAAGTCGCTGGGTATGGCCACACTCATCCACATTAACAACAACTGCGCTGCTGCCAATAGTATCGACATCACTACCGTCTCGTAGGGATACAGTAACAGGTACCTGCCTTCAACTCAGCAACTGGCTGCCCTCCGATACCACATTGGAGTCTTCTCGAGCGATGACACGAAGAGCCATACCACTCGGGCAGAGCTAGTTATACCCGTGAGGAACCAAAAGGACCGCAAACTCGACCAGGACTGAGGCAGGTACCTGTCCACCAACACTGAGACTCCTTGAGTGACACCAACGGCCTCACCGGCGATATTCCAAGTGTAGCAATAGGAGGGCAAGAAGCCAACAGACAGAGTGAATGACAGGACTGAACTAAGACTACCACAAAACTAACAAGGGTCTCGTACGTGAGCACAACGTAGCATGATCCATAGATACTATCATAGAAGACTATAGCGGCAGTAGCGATACCAGCATTAGCAACCGCTAAGGATGCGCAACAAACCTGACACATGGGAATAACCCGGCTTGAGAATTTACATCCTATTGACCTAGCAAACCCACAGCAATGAAATCAACTCTATGAAGCAGTGTGTGGGGAGAATATACACAACATGGTCAACTACATGTGTCGGTGACAATATGAAAATTCTGAGAAAATTTTGGGAAATTCTTATTAGTTTCTATACACGAATCCATACATAAACTCCTATAATCAACGCGGATACTCTTGAGCTCAGCTGAGGGAAGCAAACATATTTTCCAGCACTGCTATAAAAAGCTGCCGACTGCAATGAAAAACCAGTGTGGAAACATATGCGCATTGTCACCACATGTGTTAGTGATAATATGGAAATGCTGAGGAAATTTGGGGAGATTTTTGTTGACTTCTGTGCATTTCTTCTCGTTAGGAAACTCCTAATCTCAGCAGAGGAAAGCGAACATGAATTCCAACACTGTTAAAAACAACCCTCATGCCCTTACCCTCTTGACAAGGTTCGTGAACGGCCACCTCCTAGGTGGTAGAGATCGAGCGCAGGAATATAACTACAAACCAACTGCTTCGCTCCGCCGTAGTCGCCGCCCTACTACCTCATGTATCCTCAGGGGCACCATGACTAGGAACATGTAATAAGGTATCATCAGCAATCCTAACTCCACTACACAGTCAGCCACCTGCCAGACTCAAGATCATCATAGACAGAGGACACAACTCACATCGTCCTCCCCACATAGAGCCACTCCTACCCTACTACTCCCCAGTGAGGCCGCCGTTGACATTACTATCACTAAAGAGCGATCTATAGGGGGAGCTCACAACGCGACAAGTAACAGTCGAAAAACAAGTCTATAGTGATGACGCCGATCAGCCCATGCGAATCTCGTCAACTCGGTGGCCGTCCACAGGGAAGTACTTGAGGCACTTGGGATCGTCCAAGGCATACCCCCAAGCCCATATGTTGTCCGCCTTGGTCAGCACCAAGAGCATGCCCTTCCTCAGCCCGTGCTGCCTAGCTGAATACTCCTCCCGTGCTGGTTCATCACGTTTAGCCCGGAATAGTCGATAGCCTTTCGATAGGGCCAAGGCGATTGCAATCTCAAACGCCTCCTTTCCCATAGAAAGCATCCTGGCATCACAACAGCAGCTCTCCCATAGCTTCTCTGAGGTAGCATCAAGACGCCCCGTCGGCACCGGGACGTACCCCCTATGGACCCCACGTGGGCCGGTCCTAGTCGTGGACTCTGGTGGCGTCTCATGTGTCACCAATGATACCACTCCTCCGCCACTTCCCATATCCTGCCAAGGCCTGGGTACTGACCGCTCCGGTGAGGCCGCCCGACATGCTATTGGTGCCCTTGGTCGATCTTCCTCATCAGCATCAACGAGCGCCAGCTGGCCACCAACTAACGATTCTGGTATGCATCGTAAAGCTAGTGGCAAGGTGAGCTGTGAGGGCCTAGACCTCGTCGGCCGTGGTGAATCATGCACCTATAAGATGGCTATCACAACCACCGTACCACGCCTCCACACCTCAACACTGCCCTGCTGGTGATAGTGAAGATCAAAGCCGTACTCAGATGTAGGGTAGGGGCATGGGCCCTTCTTGGGCTCATCCACTTGCTCAGCAACCTCCTGAGCCAGTCGCGATCCTTAGCAATGCTCAGGATTTTCCAGAAATCACTATATGATTCCGGTTAAAAATGTGCAGGAATCAAAAATAACCTCCCAAAATTTCCTCAGAATTTTCCATATTGTCACCAACACATATGGCTGATGATGCGCATACTCTACCACACTGACAGCCACCCTACCTGTCGAAACTCATCCTCTTGTTCGTAGATTTGGCACACAGCAGCCGCTACATCGGAGATGGAATACTCAGTCACCTCGTCCCCATCAAAGAGGTACACCAAAATGACCGGCAACTTCTCCAACTGAACGAGCGGCCCTGGTGGGTACTCCTACGTAGTACTACCGACTACCAGCAGCTTGGCCTGGATGCCCGTACAATGCCCTGTACGCATGAGCACGTCCTTCAACTCCTCGTGAGTGGCGTCAGGGGCCTTCCCTAAAACCTGCACTATAAAGACCATAAGGCGGATCTCCAGCTCCCTCGACAAGGGCGCAGGGATGGCTGTTGTTGTGAACATAACAGACAAGCCTGTGCGGGCCCGAATTTCGCCATGGCCCTACCGTAACTCGCGCGCATCGTATTGACAACTACCGAACCAACACGTCAAAATGAAACTCGTCCTCTGAGCTCTCACCGAGTGACCATCGTAATCAAA